ATTTTACTGTGCTGCTGACACAGGATTGGACTTTTTAGTGAACTTTTTTTTTCAAATGCACCACAGCTCAAACTACATGTGAATATACACCCTAAACCTGGCATTTGTCTCCTTTAAACTTTGAAGGTGAACTTTCTGAGAGAGGGATGTGGCAGTGACAAAATCTGCCAGAGCAATCTCAAGCTGAGGTACCAGTTTGGAACCCGGCCCCTGCACTCTGACTACTTCACCCCACTGCCAAGGTTAGTACTGTCCCTGCACACTCATCTGTGTGTGTCTGGTGGATTTGATTCTGGATTCCACTGTCTGTCAACGACGACACAACACTGTTTGGTGTATCGTTACAAAAGAGTGCAGCAAAGTTTCTTGTCTCAGCAACAATGATTGATTATTCATCGTGACATGGATCAGAACATATCTAATCTCTGCCCCTCGTTGACTGTCTTGCTTCATCTAGAGACGAGGATGATGTGCAGGTGTTTTCTCTATCAGATCAACGAGTGGTAGTGTTGGAGATAATTGTCACCAATATGCCCTCTGACCCTCTTAACCCCGAGGAAGACGGGGACGATGCTCATGCCGCTCAGCTACTTATCTCCCTTCCAAACACGCTGTCATATGCTGGCTCCAGGGTCCCACCACAGGTTTGTTTAAATGGAATTTGATGGAGGATGTTATATACAAGAAAATAACGTTTCCACTCGTGTTTTTGTTTGATTTCTTGATTGCAGATGAGATGTCAAGCCAATCAGAACGGCTCCCAAGTTGAATGTGACCTGGGAAACCCTGTCAAACGAAACACAAGGGTAATAAAAGATTTCTGTCTCTGAAAATGTACAGATATAGATAGCCTATATACTCCTGTATTATACATTCTTATTTACATCTTCAGAGTAGACAGTAAAACCAAATATGTTTAAAATACACAAATATGTTGTCATTTCAAACAATACAGAAACAGTCATTCACACAGTGAGAATAGGTTGTATTTAAACAATACTTTGGTTGTGATTGTAAACAATACTCCATTCACTGTATCATTGTGTCTGTGTCTGTCTCTCAGCTGAAGTTCTCCATCAATCTAAGCACATCAAACATTACCATTGAGACAACAGAGTTGACAGCAGATCTCCAACTGACAACGTAAGGTCCCTGCATCCCCCCCTGATATTATAATCTATCTGTTAGAGCGAGAATCGGCTGCTGATATCTCCTTGGACATGTTTGGCATTATTAGACTGAATAACCTTTAACCTTTAACCTGACCATCACTGTTTGTCCTCAGAATAAGTGAGCAGCCTGATTTGCACCCCATCAAAGCCTTCGCTAAAGTTGTGATAGAGCTCCCTCTGTCTGTCAGTGGGTGAGTGGAATGTTTTTACCGTATTTTTTTAGTGGGACTTGGCTCTCTCTTCAGCCTTTCGGATCAACAGCACAAGTATGAAATGTCTAAGATCTAAGTCCCCTACAGGTCTTTAAAGTGGAACTGAAAGTCATGCTGGCAAAGCGTTGTTTACCAGAGAGAGAAAGAAAGCTAACGATGTGTTCAGTTATGTGGCATGAAGCTGAGGCCGTGCTTACAGCCGACTGATGCATGGATCTGGTCCGACTTCTCTGTAGACTGGCCCGTCCTCACCAGCTGTTCTTCAGCGGGGAAGTGAGGGGGGAAAGTGCCATGGCCAGCTTGGAGGACATCGGCAGCCCAGTGGATTTTGAATTTGTGGTGAGGGTGTTTTTAAGTGATTAATTTTATTCAAACCTAATCACCAACATATAATAGAAATGGAAAAATAAATCTGATTGTATCGTCTTTTGTGGACATGAAATATTTGTGTAGAAATGAATATTTCAATCATTGAGCCACCGATTATGATCTGAAACGCTTGTTTGAACGGTTGTCTCTGTTCTCATTACTCTGTAGATAATTCAGAAGCCATATGTTCCATTTAACCTGAGTAGTGTTGTGATTGGATGTTACCATTGCAGAGTTAAAGAAATGTATTTCGCACGGGCCCACCACCCGTGGGAGGGGCCATAGGGGTCGGGTGCAGTGTGCCCTGGGCGGCGGCCGGAGTCGGGGATCTTGGCGGACTGATCCCCGGCTGCAGAAGCTGGCTCTAGGGACGTGGAACGTCACCTCTCTGGCGGGGAAGGAGCCTGAGTTAGTGTGCGAGGCGGAGAGATTCCGGCTGGACATCGTCGGTCTCGCCTCGACACACAGCTCTGGCTCTGGAACCAGCCTTCTTGAGAGGGGTTGGACGCTCTTCTACTCTGGCGTTGCCCAGGGTGAGAGGCGCCGAGCAGGAGTGGGCATACTCATTGCCCCCCCATCTCGGTGCCTGTACGTTGGGGTTTACCCCAGTGAGCGAGAGGGTAGCATCCCTTCGCCTGCGGGTGGGGGGACGGGTCCTGACTGTCGTTTGTGCCTATGCGCCTAGCGGCAGCACAGAGTACCCACCCTTTTTGGAGTCCTTAGAGGGGGTACTGGAGGGTGCCCCCTCTGGGGACTCCCTCGTTTTGCTGGGGGACTTCAACGCTCACGTGGGCAACGACAGTGAGACCTGGAGGGGCGTGGTTGGGAGGAATGGCCCCCCCAGCTTGAACCCGAGCGGTGTTCTGTTTTTGGACTTCTGTGCTCGGCACGGATTGTCCATAACGAACACCATGTTCAAACATAAGAGTGTCCATATGTGCACCTGGCACCAGGACACTCTAGGCCGCAGTTCAATGATCGACTTCATTGTCGTTTCAGCTGATCTGCGGCCGCATGTTTTGGACACTCGGGTCAAGAGGGGGGCGGAGCTTTCCACCGACCACTACCTGGTGGTGAGTTGGCTCCGATGGTGGGGGAGGATGCCGGTGAGACCCGGGAGGCCCAAACGTGTTGTGAGGGTCTGCTGGGAGCGCCTGGCGGAGTCCCCTGTTAGGCGGAGCTTTAACTCCCACCTCCGGGAGAGCTTCGAACACGTTCCGGGGGAGGCGGGGGACATTGAGTCCGAGTGGGCCGTGTTCCGCGCCTCCATCAATGACGCGGCCTCCCGGAGCTGCGGTCGCAGGGCTGTCGGTGCCTGTCGTGGCGGCAACCCTCGAACCCGCTGGTGGACACCGGCGGTGAGGGATGCCGTCAGGCTGAAGAAGGAGTCCTATCGGGCCTTTTTGGCCTGTGGGACTCCGGAGGCAGCCGATGGGTACCGGCAGTCCAAGCGACGTGCGGCGCGGGTGGTCGCCGAGGCAAAAACCCGGGCGTGGGAGGAGTTTGGGGAGGCCATGGAAAAAGACTTCCGTACGGCCTCGAGGCGATTCTGGTCCACCATCCGGCGTCTCAGGGGGGGGAAGCAGTGCCCCACCAACACTGTTTACAGTGGGGATGGGGTGCTGTTGACCTCAACACGTGACGTTGTGGGTCGGTGGGCGGAGTACTTCGAGGACCTCCTCAATCCCACTGGCGCGTCCTCCGTTGGAGGGGCAGAGCCTGGGGATCCGGAGTTTGGATCTCTAATCTCCGGGGCTGAAGTCACCGAGGTAGTCAAAAAGCTCCGCGGTGGCAAGGCCCCGGGGGTGGATGAGATCCGCCCGGAGTTCCTTAAGGCTTTGGATGTTGTGGGGCTGCGTTGGCTAACGAGACTCTGCAACATCGCGTGGACATCAGGGGCAGTCCCGCTGGATTGGCAGACTGGGGTGGTGGTCCCCCTATTTAAAAAGGGGGACCGAAGGGTGTGTTCCAACTATAGGGGGATCACACTCTTAAGCCTCCCTGGGAAGGTCTATTCAGCGGTTCTGGAGAGGAGGGTCCGTCGGATAGTCGAGCCTCGGATCGAGGAGGAACAGGGTGGTTTTCGTCCTGGCCGTGGAACGCTGGACCAGCTCTATACCCTCAGCGGGGTCCTAGAGGGTGCATGGGAGTTCGCTCAACCAGTCCACATGTGTTTTGTGGACTTGGAGAAGGCGTTCGACCGTGTCCCTCGGGGTATCCTGTGGGGGGTGCTCCGGGAGTATGGGGTACCTGGCCCTTTGTTACGGGCTGTTCGGTCCCTGTACGACCGGAGTCAGAGTCTGGTTCGCATTGCCGGTTGTAAGTCGGACTCGTTTCCGGTGGGAGTTGGACTCCGCCAAGGTTGCCCTATGTCTCCGGTCCTGTTCATAACTTTTATGGACAGGATTTCTAGGCGCAGCCGAGGTGTTGAGGGTGTCAGTCTTGGTGGCCTAAGGATCGCATCTCTGCTTTTTGCAGATGATGTGGTCCTGTTGGCTCCATCAAGTCGGGACCTACAGCTCTCACTGGAGCGGTTCGCAGCCGAGTGCGAAGCGGCTGGGATGAGGATCAGTGCCTCCAAGTCCGAGACCATGGTCTCTCACCGGAAAAGGGTAGA